ACCTTAAATTTGTCGGCTTCAATGCCACGTTGGGAGATGTGGTGCCCAAGAAAGTCAATCTCGTATTGAAAGAGTTTGGTTTTCTTGGGGTTGCAGTATAGTCCGGCCTTTTTCAAGGCCTCGAACACCATGCGTACGTGCAATTCGTGCTCGTGTACGTCCTCGGACCAGATAACTATGTTGTCAAGGTAAACGTGGCAGACCTTCCCGATGAGCTCGCGAAGTGCTGCGGTAACCCTCCGTTGTTGTACAGACGGTGCGTTCCTCAGACCTTGTGGCATTACTAACCACTCGTATAGGCCAAGGGGCGTCGATACCGCTGTGTACTTTATTGAGTTAGGGTGCATACGCGTTTGGAAGAAGCTGTCAGTGAAGTCAATCATCGACCAGATCTTCCCTTTCGCGCAGTCCGCGAGGATGTCGTCCACACAGGGCAACGGGAATGCATCACAGACTGTGATCGCGTTTAGCGGTCGGAAATCATTAACCCATCTTGGCAGGACGGTCTTGTCCGCCTTCGGTACCAACATGGCCGGAGATGCGTGTTGTGACGACGACGGCCGGATGCGGCCAGCATCAAGATGAGTCTGGATAAGCTGTTGCCAAGCCTCCTTGTATTTCCGTGGACTCCTGTAAGTGCGCGACTCGATGTTGCAAGCCGCATCTTTGACTTTGATCTCACACAGTACTTCGTCTGGGAGATCGTTTGCGTGGGGCATAGGCTCGAAGAGCTGAGGGTAATCCTCGCGGATGGCATCCCCCTTCCTCTGCAGCTCATCCCAGTGGGCAAGAACGACAATCCTGTCGCGCACAGCGCCAATAACATCAAAGGGTTTGACAGGTTCGAAAAGGTCCTGTGCCTCCAATTGAGCTCGGCGTAGGTCGCAGACGGAAGCAAGTTCCTTTGCCATCGTCTTATGGTCTATTTTGGTGCGACGCAAACGTTCACGTAGCTTCACGGGTTTGGGAGCGAGGGTCGGCGGCGGTGGGGGATTCATCAAATCATAGCTATTTCGTTTATCAATGGCAGTACGGAGTTCATGATCAATGACAATAGTACTTTTTACCAGCCATGGAAGGCCTAGTATTTTTTACCAGCCATGGAAGGCCTAGTATTACAGGGGCACAGAGGTTAGGCGCGACGAGGGCGCGTACGGTACGGGAAGTATAAGATTGGTCGCGGGACAGTAGAGGAAGTTTCACGTATTCTGTCAAGAAGGTAGGAGGACCGCCGTCGTTAGCCGACATTGCGAGTCCCACGGGTTCAGGCTTGTGCAATTTGAAACGCCGCATCCCAAGTTTATCGACGAGGAGCTCGTCAATTAAGGCTAGGTGTGCACCATTATCAATAAGAGCTCGAATTTGCAAAGGAAGATTCGACAATGGCCCCTCTATTAGGCAATCCCAATAGAGGTGGTTGATGCGATGGGAGGAGGATGGAGCAGAACTCACCGAGGGAGGGGCATCGTCCTCGGAGTCGTCGCTGTCGTCCATGTCGTCGCCGGCAGGCATGACGACCGCGACAGGCTTGGACTTGGGCTTGCGGGTGGCGTTGACGTCCGCTTGCGTGCGGGTGCGATAACCGGTCCCGGTCGGAAAGTCTTCACGGCAGTCCGCGGTCCTGTGCCCCACGAAGAATTTGCGGCAACGGTTGCACCCGTCGTTGTCCGCGAGCAGCTGCCGTTCTTCTGGGGTAAGGGGCGGGCAGTTCTTGCCGGGTGGACCAGACGAAGTGGATGCGGTGGACGGAGGTTTAGAAGTAGAGGCGGCAGGCTTCTCGAAGGTCTTCTTCGGAGCACGCTCGCCATCGTCGGTAGCTTTGCGTTTAGTGTCCCCCTTGAGCTGCAGCGCGAATCCGGCGTTACTTTTCACTCCCGCTACGTCCGTTCCAAAGATAACCCTGCCGACCTTCCTTCCCGCGGCAAATACGGTTCCACGTCAAACCTCCTACCTCCTTTGCCCATCCCTGCCGAGCTTGCCCCCTTCATCATCGACTATGACGCTGTCTCTGACCACGGACACATCATCCCACCGCTTCCGAAGGTTCCTAACCCCAACAAGCGTCCTTACCAACCCAACAACGACCCGTGGTTGGCTGAATTCGTTGCCCACGACTGAGCCGAAGCTCAAAGCGCGCGGAAGCCGCTGGTCGCGTCCGAAACCGTACCCATCTCATCTATCGCTCCAACCCTCTCCCCTTCGTCCGTTGTGCTTCGCCGGCGAGCGGCTGTACAAATGGCGGCCGACAACATCCAGAGTAGACCGCCAAAGCTCTGGCGCTGTACCTGAAGCCGATCTAATCAATGTTACCAATATTCTATCCTACAGCTGGGCGGATGGAACGCTGGAGACTTATGGCTCGGGACTGCTCGTCTATCACTGCTTCTGTGATTCACATAGCATAGCCGATGTCCACCGCGCTCCCGCGTCTGTGGATCTCCTAGCTGCATTTCTTGCGGCAGCCGCAGGTAATTACGCGGGGAAAACCCTCGAAAACTACCTGTCCGGCGTTCGCGCATGGCATACAATCCATGGCGTACATTGGGCGCCAGTCAAAGCTGAATGCGACGCTCTCATCCGCGCCGCCGTCGCCCTACAGCCGAAATCTGCCACCAAGAAGAAACGCCTTCCTTACACCGTTGACATCATCACCGTTTTGCTCTCCCACCTGGACCCCGCCGTTCCGCTCGACGCGGCTGTTGGGTCTTGCCTAACAACGGGATTTTACTCAGCTGCGCGTCTAGGAGAACTCACCGTCAAGACGCTCGACAGCTTTGATCCCGCGATCCACGTAAAGCTCAGCGATGTCCGAGACGAAACTGACCCGCAAGGTCTTGAGATGACCATCCTCGGGCTCCCCTGGACCAAGAGCAAGCCGAGCGGTGAAGACATCTTCTACACGGCCCAGAACAACGTAACTGACCCCCGCTGGAGCTTCGCTAATCACCTTCGTGTCAACGCCCCTCCGGCAAACTCCCACCTCTTCTCCTACCTCCACAAAGGCTCTCGCCGTCCCCTCACCAAATCTGCCTTCATCACCCGAATTCACAAAGCTTTCAAGGCCGCAAAACTCGAGCCGCTGCAGGGGCACGGCATCCGGATCGGAGCAACCCTATTCTATCTCTTGCGCGGAACTCCATTTGATGTCGTGAAGACAATCGGCAGATGGGCAAGCGACGCTTTCCTACTCTATCTCCGCAAGCACGCCCAAATAATGGCGCCGTACATGCAAAACAAGCCGCGACTCCACACGGAGTTTGTCCGCATTTCGATGCCGCCTGTACGTTATGAGTCTTCCTCCTACGACCCACGGGGAATCCTGTGATGGACGCGTCGTCGACTACTGCTGACCGGGTATCCATCACAGAACCCACCCTCACATTGAGCCGGAAAGCCGACGCGGCTTTCTCCCATATTCCACTTCCACTTCCACACCTGCGAGACGAACGAATCCACAAATTTGCGTTCTGCTGTGCTCGAAGAATGAGTGATCGGCAGAATAGTGTTTGTGGCTAAGTGCCCGTCGATTGATCACCTTCCTTTCCTTCACTACGACGGCGACTCGCTCTCTACAGCGTGTATACCACGCCGCCAGAACATATCTCTTGTGAGAAACACTGAAAGTCGGACGAAGTAAATAGGACCAGAGTAAGATTGCGAAAGCGTGCAGGGGTACAGCGGGATGGTGGTAAGAGACAAGTAATTGATGCTGATGTAAGTAATGATCACGGTCATGTGAGTATAGTCGACGCGTCGGGTTTACACCCAGCTGGAAAACCCATGCACACAGGCACATTGGGCGCATTTAGCCAGGATTCCGTGTCTAATCGAGCAAGAAAGTGCACTGATCCTCCAAGCACTTCCCAAAAGAGATACATGACGATGATACGCGAATTTACATCCACCTAACAGCTTCGAAAACATCGGGATATTGGCGCGAGGAACAACGAGAGAGCCGAACAAGGTGATTGTCAATGGATATGCAGTTGAGCCAGTCAATTTCCCGTCCAGACGTTCGCGGAACATCAGATAATGACAGAGGAAGATTTTTAAATGTAGAACTAGAGATCACAGATAGCACAGGAAGATGAGATCGCCTGAGGGCTTGCAGTTGCTCTCTTAGTTTCCCTCCTGGTAGCCCTCTTTGGTCTGACGGAGTCGATGAACGAGCGGGTCGCCAGTCATTGTGATTGGGAAGACAGTGAATGCGCTGGAGAAAAAGGAAAACAACGGTTCTTGTGAGTATAGCTAACACCAGAAAAAAAATGCACACACCTGGCTTCGTGAATATTCTCGCTGTGTTCTCGCTTTGTGAGTGTTCTCAAATCTCGAAGGATCATTGAACAGACAGTCGATTCGGTCACGTGTTGTACCAAACACGGATCAAATGTGTGAGACTCCTATGAGCGTTCAAAACACTGGTTCAAAAATCTTGCAGGTCTGATGGTGATGGAATAACAAAGTGTAAATGAGAGGCAGCGAAACGGGAAAACAAAATTCCACGATGAGCCCGACTTTATGCCAACACTATAATATGCCCATGGATGCATCACAGATGCTGCATGCCTTCAGAGACGCCAAGAGGTGGAGGATCAACTCGTCGAGGCTTGCACAGGGATCCGCACGCATATCTTGTGCAGCTCTACGGTGCATGTGTGATTCCTCGACTGTGAGCAGCGCGTGGCTGTTGTCGTCCATGGTGGGAGGAGGTGATGGTAGACAACTTGAACTTCGTATTTGATGGATGGAAATGATGAGGTCAGTCGTTCAATCCGGCTAGCGGGAATTTTTGCAGGTTCATTTTATCACTCAATTTCTCTGCTTCTCATCCATTGTCCCTCTTAGCTCAGTGGTAGAGCGCATCACTCGTACTTGATGGATGTAATGATGAGGTCAGTCGTTCAATCCGGCTAGCGGGAATTTTTGCAGGCTCATTTTATCACTCAATTTATCTGCTTCTCATCCATCGTCTAATCACTTTCTGAGGACGCCACCGTCAGTCCCTCTTAGCTCAGTTGGTAGAGCGCGTCACTAGTATTCTTTGTACTTCTTATTATACATGACGAGGTCAGTCGTTCAAATCGGCTAGCGGGAATATTTTTCTATGTTTTCTTTTCCTACTTGTTCTCTGACAGCTAAACTCAGTTTCTACGCTGACTTTAATCACTCCCTCTTAGCTCAGTTGGTAGAGCGCGTCACTAGTATCATGTACTACTATGTCAGTAAAACATGACGAGGTCAGTCGTTCAAATCGGCTAGCGGGAATTTGCATCCTCTGGTTTTTTGTTTTTTTCCCCCAAACAGACACGAAAAAAATGTCGACATTATGTACACAAAAAACCTATCTATGAGAATGAATAAATCCGGGCGAATTTTAGGGCGCGACCGTGTCGTCGATTGTAATACATATGTATGCTGAAGTCAGGTAAGAACGTGGAAAGTACAAGTTTTTTTTTTAATGTGTATATTATACATCAGTATCTCGAGTTTTGAACGACCTCTAGATGATCAACCTTGAACGGTCACGGTTGCCTGGCCGCTGCCGGACAGCCCCTCCACCGCCATAATCTGGTAGTTCATCGTACCCAAATCCATTCCAAGCGTACGCCACGCATTGACATGGTTCGCCACCGTGACCGTTCCGCTGGTGCGCTGGCTTTGGCGGACGGAGATGTACTGGTTGAAGGTCGCGGTGCCCTGGATGGAGGGCTGGTTCACCTGTTGGTGTTCATAGATATTGTACACCGATCCATCGGAGGTGACGGTGCCCTTGAATGTCGCGTCGAAGGTGATGTCGAATTGGTTGTTGCTGTCGAATTCGTTGATGTAATATTCGACCAGCGGGTTCTCCGACCAGCCTGGATACGACCGGGGGTCAGTTGTAATAATCTAGATGCGAGTCGAGACTTGGGGCCACTGACCGTAGACGGAGAGAATAACGGCTGCATCGGCATTGGGCTCAAAGCTACTGCTGTAGGTGACGGCCCTGAAACGGATTTAGTGATTGTAAAATACGCATACGACTGCAACTCACGCGGATGTGCTTCCAGGGTTAGTACCCTGACCAGCAACAAAATCGCCGCTTCCGTCCCACTGGATCTCGTACTGCCCGCCAGCTATGTTGGTCATAGTGACGTCGGAAGTTCCAGCGGTGAAGAACGAGTAGAAAACATCGTCGAAGGTACCTTCACCGGGAGACACTTGAGCTCGCGCAGTAAAGTCGCGGTGGGTCAAGTTCCCGGGGAGGGCGGAAACGCCTACGACGGCGAGTGTGACCGCGGAAAGCAGAGAGGTTAAAGAGACCATGATAATCGTTCGAACTAGGGAGCAACTTGAATATCTGCGCGCTTATAAACGTTGGTAACGACCGAGAGTATTGACCCCGAAGTTCACATGAGCCAGCTCGCGGGAATTGCATGGAGTTGGAGGTCGTTATGCAGGATATGGGCAAAACCCCGGGGCCTTGAGTCGTCAGCCCTCCAAGTCATATGAGCCCTTGTCGAGTTTCCTCCCCGCAGCACATCAAATCATCGAGCAAAATTGTCTGCTGAACGCGTTCAAAAACATCCCTTCTCCCTCCCACTTGGAGTCGGCGGCCGGTTTCGGTCGGGTGATGAGCGCGTTGGACCTATGTCGGACATTTCTTGGCATTAGTTGTCCTATACTCGGCCCCAGTGACTGCGCTCAGCGAGCAGGATTAGTTCGATATCCAAAATTAAAATTCTTGCTGCAATTATAGGTTTCAATCCCTGAAATATCCTGCTTGTGGCCAAACATAGCACCTAGGGAGAGCGAGGGCCCCAAACCTGCGCAGGAAATCAGGATCACGAGTTCGAGACAGAGGAGATGAGGGAGGGAGCAAAGGCCGGAGCTACACAAGGAAGCCACCCGGGCCGGCGACTCTACAACGCCGGGTCCTTCAACCTGGATCTTTTGTCTGTATGTACACGAACCCTGCCGTGCTTTATAATATGCACACGAACTGCTGTATAATAAGGGGTGCTCAATTATTCGGCTCATCCGCCCATCCGATTTTAGCTCATCCATTAAATAAATGTTTTGATCCCGCATCAGTGCGACATTCGGCGAGGCACGTGTGCGATGCATCCATAAGCAGTGTTTGTCCGAAGGCCCAAGGGCGAAGGTCTTCAAACCTTGAAGGCCTTCAGAAGGCCTTCTTGTTTAGCGACCATCGACCGGGCCTTCAAATGTCATGTAATTTTCTATTTTTCCTCTTCTCTGTCCAATTTCCGTCGCGCCGCGACTCTTCTTTCAGAATGGCAAAAAACTTTTCGGAGGAGCAGAAAATCCTCACATTCACAGACCATCAGCCCAGGTGACGGAGGAGAAAATTTTAATGGGGGCGTTGGCAGAGGCAGCAAAGGACAATAATCCGGATGACGGTGTGATAGGGATTGAGTCAGACGAAGTAAAAGGTATCAGGATTAATTCAACTGCAAATTCAGCTGTCAGTGAGCATGGGAATTTTATTTGAAGGCCTTCAAGCTTTTGGAAACTCATTTGAAGGCCTTCAGAGCGAAAACTGCTTATTGATGCATCGCACATGTACCCTGCCGAATGCCGCACTGATGCGGGATCAAAACATTTATTTAATGGATGAGCTAAAATCGGATGGGCGGATGAGCCGAATAATTGAGCACCCCTATATGTACACGAAAAACCTATCTACACGAAAAAAAAGGATGAAACCCCGCCGCACGTATTTAAAGCGCATCGATAACGCGATATAATGTAGCTGAATGTCAGTTTGCAGGCGAGAATAAAGTACAAGATGATGCGTATATGTATATGTATGAAGTTGCGGTAGTCTGGTATGCGAGGAGGTGTGTAGACGTGCGGACGAGGAACTGAGGAAGTAGACGTGGACGTGGACGAGGAAGACCAAAAACCAAAAAGAAGAGAATCCACCCAAAAAGCAAAAACTAGTGTACATACAAAGACCCTAAGAGTTGGTAATAAAACGTGGCTACGGATAGGTAGGGGGAGCTTCGACTCGACTCGCGAGTCGCGACATGTACGGTGTGGTGGGGGGCTGTGTGGGCCTGGTCAGCGTTCGTTTTATAGACGGGGACGAGGGACGGCCGCACACTAAAAAGAACATAAACTACCGCTCGCTTTCCAGCTGCGGACTTGGTATTGACTTGGTATTGGTGGGGGTGCTTGTTTCTTCTTGTTCTTGCTTGCTTGGGGGTGGTATGGTATGCGTGTGTGGGTATCGATGGGACGGGAGAGCTTTTGGCGGGCGGGCGACTTGTAGGGGACGGCTCGGAGGGGGGTTCGCGACGGAAGACTCGGAGAGGGAGCGAGCGGCCGATGAGGGACGAGGGACGGCGTGGCGTGTCGACAGACAGCGACGCGCACCTTCCCCATCACCCTTCCTCGCGAGGTGCGGCGGCGGCGTTTTGAGGTATGGCGTGGATGTAATAATGTATACGGATGCGCGGGGAGTATAGTAGACCGAAGACGGGGGCTGAGGCGGGGCGGGCGGACGGATGAATCGGAACAAAGCAGATAGGAACAGAGCGCGGTCGGGCAGAATAGGATAGGATGGACGCGTCGGGTCGGGTCGGGCGCAGAGTCGGCGATGTATCGAGCGCGCCGTAAAGCGTTGACAGACTCCACGCTGGGCTTGGGCTTGGGCTTGGGCTTGGGCTGGGCGTTCTTTATAAACCGCGCAGCCTCCTTCTTCGCCAAATACGTGGCCTCCCCATCCCCTCCCCTCCCCTTGCTTCCAATGTACCTCCTTATTCCTTATGCCGACTAATCTTCTCCACCCCCGCCCCGCGCGCCGTAACCCGCCTCCTCTCCATCTCCGCCTCGTCCTCCTCATCATCATCCTCCTCCTCGTCTTCCTCTTCTTCGTCGTCGTCCTCTGCGCCTTCCTGCTCGCGTTTCTGCGAGTGGGAATGCGCGTGCGCGTGCGCCGCCTCCTTCTTCCCCCGCTCCTCGTCATCCTCATCCTCGCTCTCGCTATCGCTCCCCGTACTCGACGCGCTCGAATTCGAGCTCGAGCTCCCGCTCCCGCTCCCCGTCCCGCCACCATTCGCCGCCTCACCCCCAACCCCAACCCCAACTTCACTCCCACTCGCCACCGCACCCGCCGCACTCGGACTCCGCTGGTGCCCATGCCCATGCGAGTGCGAGTGCGAGTGCGAGTGATGATGTCCCCTAAAGTGCGCGGGCAGCGTGACCGCGCGCAGGACGTGCTCTTCGCCGGATGCCGCGGAGGACAATGGCGCGGAGCCGAGCGCGGACCCCGAAGTGAGCGCGGGGGATACGAGCGGGGAGTTGACCGCCGAGCTGAGCGGGGAAGTTGCAGAGGAGCCGAGCGCGGGGGATGCGAGCGGCGATGCGTGCAAGGACGCCGAGCCGAGCGGAGGCGGAGACGACGCCGAACTGAGGGCGGGCGACACAAGCGGCGACGCGCCGAGCGCAGACGCAGACGCGGACGACGCAGAGCGCAGGGACGGAGACGTGAGCGGGGACGCGCTGAACGGAGACGCCGCAGACGCAGCGTCGCCCGTCGGCGTGCTCGCATCGCTCTCGCCCCCGCCCCCGTCGCCGCCGCCCCCGCCCCCATCGCCGTCACCGCCACCCCCGTCTCCTTCTTTCTGGGCTTGGGCTAGAGCTAGCGCCTCCTCCTTCTCCTTCTCCTCCTTCTCCCGCGCCGCCTTCTCCCTTGCCTCCCTCCTCCGCCTCACCCACCCCATCCCGCTCCCGTCGTCGTCGTCCGCGCCGTCGCCCGCGCCCACGACGCCCATGCCCACCGCGCCGTGGTGCGCGCTCCCGTTCCCGTTCCCGTTCCCGTTCCCATTTCCATTCGCGTGCTTGCCATTGGGCGTAGCGCCATTCGCGGTGGGCGCCGCCTTTCCGTTCGCAGGCGTGTTGGGGGCGGACGCGGAGCCGCCCTGGATGCGGTTCCACGCGGCGTGGCCGTTGCGCACGGAGCCCATGCCGCCGTAGCCCCACTCGACGAACTCGGGCTCCTCGTCGCGCACGTTGCCGAAGGGGTTGTGTGTGCCTGTGGGGGTGTGAGTAATTGGAGACGGGTAGATTAAAAGGCGGGAGGGATGT